TAAAAAAGGAGACGGAGTCAGGGAGCCTTTGTCTCTCTTAGATGAAAGCCCTGGAAGACTCCATGGAATCAATGAAGGCGAGGACAAAAGGGAGACATGTGGTCGAAGTCGCACGGCAGGGGAAGTAAGGGTTCTGGAATTCACATGTTCCGCTTGGTGGAATTCAACTCGTAGGTAAGTTGACGGTTTGAAACGCCAAGTCTTTTTTCATTCTATCCTTATTCCAGCTTCTGTCTTTACACCTATGCTTGCTTTTTTCGGAATCTGGAACTCTCGATTTTTTAACTACGCCGTATTACGTATCTCTCGTGAACTTTCGAGGGCTTTTCGCTCTCGAACTCTAGAACATATCACATCCTCGTAAATTTAATCTCTTGCGGACTCTTGAGCACTCATTCTCGGGCTCTTGAACGACTTACACCTTAGTGGGATGTCTGTTTCCCCATCCCCCTCACACACATACACTAACACACACATTTGCCAGGACCTCGAAGAGGTTGTGTAGCAGAATTCCTTGACATGTGGATGGTCTGGAGGGCAACCCCAGTGTCTCTCACCCAGGTCATTGAGGACAGATTCCGGAATGAACTTGAAAGGAGCAGTCTTCCGTCCAGTCAAGGGACATCTAATAGATGAGGATAACAGATCCCCGACTATCGGGCTAATTACGATGAAAAATAAAGGAATTCTTATATTCTACAGTAAAAATCGGACCCTTCTCTGTTTGTGAATAGCAGGTGTCGCCATGAAAAATTCGATAACAGCTGACGAAGGAATTTTTTCCCTTCGAAGGGGATGACCACGGACCCGATTTTCAATGTTTGTTCTCTTAAATCCGACATAGGATTGAACTTGTGAAGAAATTCCAAGCGTATGGAAAATCAGCCGGAATATTTGGAAGATGGCAACAGACGACGAATCTGTTTCATGCCATCGCCATCAGTCATCCTCATGTGTACAGATCAAAAGCTCCGTCCAGGTCAGTAGACCGTCCCGTCGCCTATTGAAGTGTAGAGCGGGATCATAACGCATGAATAGCAAAAGGATAGAATTGCAGGATGGTTGTCCGAGTCGGAGTCTTCGGGAGAGATAGTCGAGAATCCGTGTCGATCAAAAGGTTCAGAAAGTCATTCCGAATTTACGATAAGGTCACGGGCAGGTCAATCGGACTCGAGCAGCCCACGAACTGCGTCATCCAGGAGAGGGTGACGGAAAGAATGAGACTCGCATCGGAGTGCATTTGATGTTAGGCAGACGGGAATATCGAGAAGACTCGGGCGGTGCCACGCGACTCGAACGAGGGCTGACCGCTGAGCCCACCAAATAATGGGAGGGTCAGAGAGCAAGAGTGGAAAGGGGGGAGTGGACGGATGATAATGGCGTTAGCATATGAAACAAGAGTCTCTCTCCGTAGATATGAGGCCCCACTTGCCAATGAATGCAGTCCATGGAAAAAGTTAATCTCCTTTGGAAAAGATTTTCAAGAGATTTTCTTGACGAGAAAATGCATGCTGATTGCGTCCCAAGAAGCTACCATCCTGTTCCAGTTCCCACAGTCTCCATGAAAAAACTGGAAACCGCACAATAAGTAGGAGTTATTGTGTGCTCCAGAACTGATAAGGCTACCAACCCTTGTTCCTCGGTTGCATATATAAATCTTCTCAGAACTAAGTTCGTTTGCTTTGTCTATCTTGTCCTAGGGTGAAGCACATTTTTAAAATCGAAATGCAGTACTCCATCCCGATCATCGAACAGAGGGAAGAATACAGTATTGAAAAGGACCTAATATATTATATATAGTACCTAATTGGTACATGTGTGCACCTAACGGAGGAATACATTTATGCCACGGCATGGTAAGCCTAACATCATAGCAGAGTGACAGGACACTTAGGCCTAGCTACAAAGCAGGTAAGTCTACCACTACGGTGGAATAAGCAGAAGGGTCAGTTGATGAGTCCTCATTCGAGGATGGACGAGGGCACCTTTGATAGACACAATGCATGAAATTGCTAGACCCACGCACCCATGCCTCTCAGAATGGATTTATAAAACATGCAAGAATCCTATGGCGACCTTCTAAAATAGGTAGACCTCTGATAGGCTGCCTCATACGGAAGAAGCCTACCAATGGGAAGAATGGAAGAAGGAAGCCTTCAAATCGCAAATTTGGTCCGCTTTTGGATCGCCAACCACTCTTCACTCCAATCTTTGGGCAATGCGTAGTGAGCCTGTTGGGGGCCGTTTCCCTGTTAGAGACATCCTGAAAGTTTTTGCGATCAACAGTAAATACCGTAGTTAGCAGGGGTGAAAGAGGTGAAAGAAAGGGTGAAAATAGATGAAAGGAGGATGCCAACTTTCTATGGGACCGCTGCCCCCCGCGTTAAAAACCAAAACAGGTGTCAATCGATAGATCTTGATGAGTAGATCAAAGTTGTCAATGGGCACAAATGTGTCAGAGAGTGAGATCATTGAGTTATAGGTCATCAAAGTTGAAACCTTCGGTTCCTCTAATTCTTTTGCAACGTTTGTTAACCCTTTAATGCATGATTTATTATTTTTTCGGCAAAAAGGGAGGTAGGTAAATTTCACTCGCATCCTAGATCGAATTGAAAAATTTGTTAAAATTAAATTTCTAAGCAGTAGGCCCGAAAATGTTATTGTTGCTCATTTGCTACTAACAGCATTTTCAGCTTTCTAACCCACGCTTCATTGATGCTAGAGAGCTCAGTCGGTCTGTCAACATTCGTGCATACCTCAGCACAAAAGAAAATGTAAAAATACGGACGAGCCTGGATCCTGGATTAACGTAAAGTTTAAAAAATTAAATTAAAAAGTCAAAAACGACAATCTGCCATATGACGAAGCCAGATTGGTTTTCGTTTGAATGCTACCAGGAGTGTATGGCACCTAGCGACCGCAAAGTTGCTAGGTCTCAGGATCGGACTCCCTAGTAACACATAACATTGAAACAACATTTTATTTTGAACATTTGTAAGCGTTGCAAAATAAATAGAGGGACCGAAATTTTGAACTATGCTGACCTATAACTCAATGATCGCACTCTGACGGATTTGTGCCCATTAACAACTTTGATCTACTCATATAGATCTATCGATTGACACCTGTTTTGGTTTGTAATGCGGGGAGCGGTTTTTGGCATCCTCCTTTTCTTCCTCATGTATGTGCGTCCGTAACTTCTACTGTGTTTCAGAGGATATGATGTAGTGAACTTAGACAGTCCTGATCTAATTTTTAGAACAGCAAATCCGATTTGATGCTGACCGTGGGACTGTGAATCATATCGATCGTTCATGAATTTCTTTCAACCCTGCGGAAAAACATTTTTCCCCCCCTGAGTTCTCTTTATTGTACTTCATTTTTTAAAATCCTCGCTGACGTTTTCCTATGAGATGGATGTCGCAATCACGACCAAGTAGTCCAACTCGAGTATGCTTAGGTCTCCCGCGGTGCTATCCACGGGAATTCCCCCGAAAGGAGGGGTCCGAGGGCTGATCTTCAAGCAATCCTCGAGTGTATCTGGGGCGAAGTCCTCTGGGCTGGTTTCTTAGGACTTTGAAATTCCGGAATCATGGGCGTGGTTTAGGGGAGTGGAAATGACATTCTCCAATCACGTGGTGGAAATAGGAAAGGATATCCAACTCTTCTCTCTTGGCATAAGTTCTTCACTCTTCACTGGCGTCTTGTCTGGAACGCTTGCTCTTTTGATTTATTTAGAATCTACAACGCTCAATGTTCTTGAAACTTTTTCCTGGCAAATCGGAAATGCTTGTCATTCTCGAACTCTCGAGCATTTCTCAAGGATTCCTCATATCTTATCTCTTAGAGACTGACAAGCATTTGTTTCCCAAGAACGCATCTTATTTTTTAGCTCTTGAACGTCTTGCAACCTGGTGAGACCTCATTCCTCTTCATCTCACTCGGGAATGACCATGATTTCGATCCGGTTATGCTGCGGAATTCCGAATTGTGTTAAGAAGGCATCTCCTTCAATTTTCTTGGCTAGGTTGTCGATCTCCTAGGTCTCGATAAGCCTTAAAGCGGGGACAGTCCATTCATCCATTCCTCCATTCCAATGTCTTGCCCTCAGATTGCCTCTCGCAAACTCCCAAACTCCCCCCCCCAGTTGCATCCTAGACCTGGATTTTCTCCACATGTTCAAGGCAACGGTGGATTCAAGGAAAACAGGACTTGAAAATTGGTTACATAGGCATCCCTTTCGAAGGGAAAAATAAATATTGTGTTGCCGTAGAGGTAAACGAAAACACCCCCTCTTATGGGGGGGGGGGGGGAAGGATCCTATTAATAGGAGAACCTGAATTTTTTCCTTATTCCCTCTCATAACCAACGTTACCCGGAGATCTTTTTTTGACACTGATTGATTGACAAGGGCCACCTAGGGCCACCTGAGTAATATTTCGGCAAAAAATATAGTTTCTTTGCTTTTAAGGATGGTATGAAGCCCCCTGACTTCATTGGTTATCCTTGCAGCACCTAACAATGAATCATTTTCCAGACGTTCAATCAGCATTCAATATTAATTCAGTGTTACGGGCTACTGGGGAAAGTTCATTTTTTATTTGACTTTTCCACCATTGAGATATTGCAAATGAAATGTGGGCACTTCTAGAGGCTCTCGGTGGAGGAACTCTTCCTTCTTGCATTGATGAATACGAAAGAAACCAGCATCGATGAAAAACGTTAAATCTCGGAGGGTTCTGCGTCACACTTTCGTGGTATTGTAACTGAAACTTGGTGGGCCACCATCCAATTATTTCCCCGAAGTTTGGGGTCTCCTTGTGTCTCAGCAGAGTACATAAGAGATGAGGGACCCTCCCTTAACTTTCAGCAGTCTAGCGTGATACTAGGTTAAACGTGATCAAATTGGGTCATCCTTCAGAGTAGAGTGCTTAGCGAAGAATTGTTCGGGAGAATGAGATAATATCAATACTGAATGTTGGCCTGGACTACCGCTCGGGATGGAAAGTATCCCGCCACTTGACGTAAACACTTCACGGTGAATATGACAGATGAAGCTGATCGATTCCACTTCTCATAGAACTGAACTACGAAGTCGGTCAAGGAGCCTTGAGGACGCTTTACATTGAGTACTCCAGGTTGAAGGAAGCATGAAAAGATTCGCGGTATCCTTTGTCTCCCTGTTCTCTATTGCCAGTAAGTCCATGAGACCTTTTTTACCTATCTCTGCATATCTAGATCCCTAATTTTATTCTCTTCCATTCCAAAGTCATCTCTTTTCCCATTCAGTTCAATTGCTGTAATTGATTTTAAACGGGTTTTCAATTTAAAGATATTCTTTAATAACAACTTTTACATGTGCCTTGCACAGCTTTGCTTTCATGGGACAGAGGAACTTTCGCGAGTGGTATTGTTGCAAGAGCTCCAGAACTCTGTGGATGCATAGAAGGATCATTTTGTGACTATCTGAGAAACCTCACCGAATCTGCTGGTGAAATTGTCCCATGCATTGATGATGCAGGCCTAGTACCCCCAGAGCAGGTGAGTCGCCATCAAAGCTCACAATCTTCCGTTAAAAATGAAGACTGAATTCCTCAATGGTAGATGCAATAGGCAGTAAGGATATTACAAACTACTTTCAGATGCATAATGAAATTCAGCGTTTTTACAATATTGCTCAAGTCGTCTAATAATTGGCTTTCATATTTCAGAATTTTATATTTACTCATTCGTTGCCGTGAGTGTGACACAGAATTTCTGTGATTTATGTGCTTAAATTGTTGCTATTATCGGCATCTCTTTGCCGTCTCAGTATATGTTACATCTTTCTTAACAGCACTATTTACAGGGTTATACAGGGTGTTCCACGAAAGTCCGACATATTTATTATTGATATAACTGAAGAATAGTAATGCTATAGAAAATATATTGAGTATTGGAACCTAGATAACTGCAGATAGTGTTACATTAACTAAAAATTTACCTGAAGATTTTTCATATTCGGAATATGACATGCACAGTAAATATTTACCCCTTTTTCATTAAGACGCTCCCTGCATCGAAGTAAGACTTTGTTCATTACTGCTCGTAACGTGCCTCTGGAGATGGGAGGTAGTGACTTCTCTAATTTAGTTTTTATAGTTCCTCAGCCCACCTAGGTATTGCGCGATGCAAACTTTCCTTCAAAGAAAAATATCGGGGACTGGCAAATCTAGCGAGCGGGCAGGTCATGGGACAGCACAGAAGCGTGAAATGAATCTATTCCCACAATTTGATTGAACGATGATGAAAGTAACGCTCGATTTTCCGTATTCGGTAGGGCATATCTCAAGGATCCACCTTCAATAAATTTACACAACCCTACCCACAATTTGAAGCAGAAAAAAAGCTATAATTATCAAACAGACCCATTTTCTCCAAAAATCCAAGTATTTCCGACTTTCGTGGAAAACATTATATAAGACGATTGGATCTACCTCAGTTTGCCAGCCTCTAAAATTTTGTCGGGTTATATTTCTGACAGGGAATAGACATGAATTTCCATTCTCAAATGAGCCTAAATTTTTCTGCGAATAACAATTTTATCCAAGAATATTTTATCCAAGTACTTTTTCCATGCAGGTCACTTCCCATTTTCATGGAGATCCATCCCTAGACAAGTCCTTGACAAAAACATCACACCCAATCTAGACTTGCTTTAAATTTATCTCTGATCTGTACGGATTTTAGATGCTAATTATCATGAAAATAGTTGGAAGTTCTTCGTGATGGATTTTTTAAATGTTTCTCTGGACTTGGAAAGGTTTTCGATATATTTACCAAAAACTTTTCCAACTGCTCAACGACCTTTACCATAAGCAATTTACGCTGTAAAAAGCAAGAACCATGACAGACTATACAATCTGTGCAGTCATGAAAGGGTCGATGATGTTGATACATTTTCTTGTCGGTCTGCCTAGTGTACTCGTCAATTAGAAAAATCGTTGATTTACTGAAACTTTGATGATCGCTTCAACAAGCGGTAGATTGCAATCGTAATGCAATATTTGAAAACTAGCGCAAGAAAATCGCAGGCGAGATTTCTTTATCTGGCTCGCGCATTGAGAATGTAACGGATGAGAGTCTGAAAGCGTAGTTAAAGCTATGTGAAATTGTCGGTGGCATTGAACACTATGAGAAAGTCATTCTGGTTGCATTTGTCATTGTTATAGGGTATTTATTTCGTAGGTAAAATGATAATATTTTCATCATATTGTGTACATTTTCAGAGATGCCTATGGAATGTACTCCCTGAGGAGAATGCAGAAAACATCGTTTTCGAAATCGAACCAGGCACATTTAGTTTCCTGGATGGAGAAGCTCGGGTGCAAATAGGAACAGGGAGAAGAGATCATTTCCAAGCTGGAAATCCCGATGGACTGGAAATAACATTCAACGGTCCAGTCGACGAATCCACGACTGTCAACATAATCGGGAGTGAAGCCTGGGTTCAACTTCTTGTCCGATCAAAAGGCATACCTCCATTCTCTTTTACTTATAACATCTCTGATTCAGGTAAGTTTTCTCCTCCACGAGCTCTCGCTTAAAACTAATACATGCAGTTTGTAAAACAGAGAAACTGTTAGGTATTTATAATGAATGCGTTTGGAAAAACGGTCAGGAAGACGGAGAGGTGGCTACCATTTCTGCACTCGCCGCTCCCCCAAACTCGAAATTACGAAAAGCAGAATGTTCACATGCCTGCCCATATACGCACGGATTAAGTTGGCTTCAGTTTTCGTACAAGGCACGTATAAGGCATGACAAGGTATGATAGGGAAATCCCAGAAGCACACAGCTTCAATAAGTCCACGTGTATGTCAGGGAGAAGGAGCCATTATGTTGCTCATCAAAAGTCATTTGATTGCATCACATTGTACAATATATTCATTTCTGTTCATTTTATCTTTCACGAAGAAAATTTGATCAGTATAACATTTCGTCGCTGTTAAATTGGGTACACCATTTCCTCTATTTGAAGTCAAAGTGTGAGTATAGAACATTCCAGTTTGCGATGTGAGCTGCATGAACGTATGACGGTAGCTTTCAAGAATTGCCAAAGCGGCTGCGATTGCAATCGTTTGCTCATAAGGCTTCCGGAAAAGGGTGAAATGTGGCTGCGGAATTAGGAATTAGAGGAATTAGGATGCCGATATGTTATACAGCATTTTTCATATTCAAAGAATCGTCATTTTGGTCATGGCGAGATTCATTTTAGTAGAGCACGCATTAGTCTTAGAAACTATGGAAGTTTTCTTTCCTAAAAATCGAACTGGGAGATGAGGTTCCTTAATGGGTCGATCAAGAAAACATAATTTTTTTCATTTCTTGTTCACTCACGCTCTGATATCGGTTACATACTAAGTATCTCAACATTGCGCCCTACGCTCATTTTGGTTGCCTTCAAGGAGAAAAAAAAACATGAACTTTCAAGCTTCAATAAAACATTCGTGAAAAGCGTTTCGGGAAAACCGCCGACAGGGTCAACATACCCTGCTGTCATTTGGGAGACTTCCCGGAAGAATATGTCGGAAGACATGAAAAAGAAACTTCGAAGGGATTAACTCTTGAAGAAAAGCAGTTTTCATATACTATTAGATTTAAGGTTCGAAGCTCAGAAATGCTGTATTTAAATGTAATGAATGTAATGGTGAGAACGCATAGTTATCCCATCACAACTTTGCGTGGAAGAGATATCGCAAGGCAAGGTGAAATTTAAGACTCAGGAAAATCAGAGGTAGCTAGCAGATATGCCAGGGTTGCCAATCTCCTGGTCTGCAAAGATGAGTCATTCCATCCTTTGTAGCACCGCCCTCCTCCGATCCGACGACGACGGATGATACTCCATCGACGGATGATACTCCATCGACGGATGATACTCAATCGACGGATGATACTCCATCGACGGATGATACTCCATCGACGGATGATACTCCATCGACGGATGATACTCCATCGACGGGACCAGCGGGTGAATCAAGTCCCAGCCCAACCGAAGCGTCCACGACTCCCGCACCAGGTGAATTCATTAGTGCAATAACTTCATGCTATACATGATCCAGTTCATAGCATGTTTTGACAAGCACACCCTTTGAGTATAACTAGTTGCTACGGTGCAACGTCTAATGTTTTCCCATTCTTTTCCAGGACGCTCGACATCAAATAGTGTATCCAAATTGAGTTTCGTCGCTGTATTGTTCGCAATACATTTCCCTGCATGAAGACTTCACCCTCTATGACTGTCAATATCTTCAGGATCTTCATATCTTCTTCACCCTAACAGACTTGGATTCGTTCAGGGGTAAACCTTGTCGCATGGAACGAAGACACAGATCTCATGAATGTCAACGATACTTTCTTCTCAATATGAAGACTCATTTATGAATCGATGATTTTATGCATTGTCATTTGTCTTCAGAGGGACACAATGGGATTCTGAGGGAAAATGCTGAGCTAGTCAATCTTCCCCGTGAACGAATCGTGTGCAATTTTTCCTTAGCATTGTTTCTTTGGATACTGATTGAAAGGATATATAGCCACGAAAGCGACGCCTCCTCAGTCTGCACAGGAACGTTGAGTAATCATTGACATATGGGAGATCGTCGAGTTTAGTCGATTGTTGGCATACGTTCATTTCGAGGCCGAGTAAACGTTGACGTTTCCAGAAATAACGACTTTTCGAATGGGTTCGAATTTCGACAGAGCTGTGTTGAAGAAAAGATAGATCTAGCTCATGACATTTTGGCTTTCTAAGAGACGATTTCGAAATTTGAATAACTTTGCATCATTGTACATCAATCACCAGGCGTATTAGAAAAGTGGAATGAACATGGAAAGAACGTGAAACATCCATCAATAGGATCACTAAGAAACCCATACTTGACAATCATTTCAGAGGAAAGGTCGCTCATAAGTTCACGTATACAGTCGTCCCTCGCCACTTCGCGCTTCGACTTTCGCGGCTTCACTCTATCGCGGTTTTTTCAAATATATTCATTAAAAAGTTGATCGAGACAGTGAAAATGATACAGCGCGCGCTCGGTTGTCTGAGTCAATTATACACCCCTGTATTACAATTAAAATAAAAATTACTTTTTTATTTTAATTACTATTAATTATTTTTATTTTATTTTATTTTAATTATTTTAAAAAAAAATTACAGTATTTGAAAAAACCGCGATAGAGTGAAGCCGCGAAAGTCGAAGCGCGAAGTGGCGAGGGACGACTGTAATGACATTAAAATAAATTCAGTTGTATTTTACCGGGAGGGAAGGGGCCGAGCAGGGGAGCAGCCTCCTCAGCAAGTGAAACCTTTAGCGCCTACTCTGAAGAATATTTTCTCCCCTGCGAGTTTTCGTGTGGAAGCCAACACCAGCTCCTCCCTCTCGCCTTTGTCCAGCACCACCACCGCCCACCTCCGACCTTAATTGGTAGATTGGTTATAGACCCCTCTCAGTTACCCTGATGCCCTCGGCTCAAGAGTCGAAATTCTTCACTCAATAGACTTTTGACTTTTGTCTAGTCAAATGACATCTAATGGCTAAAGCAGCAATAATAATTATTATTGTGATACGGTATATTGGTCACTTTTGAAAATCTCGAAACCCATGCGCTGAACACTCGAGCACTCGAGAAACACTTTCCACCCAACTTTGTGCATGCGCATGAATACCAGAGACTGAAGTCTACCTTGCGGGGGCGCTTTGGGTCTGGTCGTCTGAAGGTGTATGGGTCGTCCGAAGTGAAGCCCGAGAATGGATTTGGTGGTGATTCGTGAAAATGTTTTTCATCAGTCTCTATTTGTAGAGACTCATGCAAAGCATTGGTTTATTCTAAAATTATTCTCTCAGTTACGAAATTTGCCGTGAATACGAGGGTTGTTACAAAATTTGTATAACTCTCATACTTTTAGAACCCCTATTCATTCAAAACTTACACTACTTCGCCAACTATTATCACGAAAAGTTTATGTACACTGCAAAATATAAAGGTTCTAGAGTGAAACTTTTATAGAACCATTTTCGTTGAAGAGATGATACTAATTCCAGGAGCTACTACGATATTAGATTGTTAACGAGGCGGAACATGAACGCTGAGACTTAGGACAGTCGGACGATCACTCCAACTGATAACTATTATCCACATTTAGGAAAAACGGTTCGACTCTCTAAAAGTAAATGTTCCGCTTGGAACCATTTTCAATAAAACATTCATAGAACCATTTTCGGGGAAGGAAGCCTTCACGAGCTGAAACTGCTGAACTCTTGGAGTTACCAGGATCTGAGGACTTTGACACGGCAGATGATCAATTCTTCGATATGATCACTCCTACGAATAACTATTAAGCAAAGATCGTGAAAAAATATTCTAGTGATCACAAAACCCAAATTCGAGTTCAAGAGCTACCAGGTTATTATTATGCGTCATAACGTCAAATGGTTTTTGAAGTGAACCATTCCAAATGTTTCCCGATCAGCGAACACCGTTCTGAAAGCTGAGGGTTCTAGTCCGAACCATTCTTTTTTTTACAGTGTACATAATTTCAGCCTGCTGAACCAGCTTTGAATGATACTTTTTGAGTCTTTTGTGGTGAATGAGGTTAACATCTTTTCCAACTGATTTTAAGGCTTCTGTCAGGGCTAAAATCATATTCTCTTCAGTGACTATTTCATTTTTAGAAGAGCCCGAATTCACATGGACCTAAATATGGAGCATACATATGGTGAGAGAGTGTCTGGTTTCCAGATTCCTCCAAAAAAAATTTTGATTTCTGACGGTTGAATTTTCTGGGATTATTGTTCTGGTGAATTAGGGTTTCGTGAAATATTATTTTTGGTTCTTCTTCTCTCTGAGTTTCATACACTTCAGACATGCAAGCATCTGTATCCCAGCCTGAAGTAACTGTATGCGCCTCATCATGACTGGCGAACTTCAAAATGTCGTGGGCGGAATTGAAAAAAGCATGCATGTTCTTTCTATGACCTCCGGGTCACATGACTTTTACAGGTAGTTCCTCATCTTGAAAAACCCACACCATGCTTTCCCTCTTACTGAGAGAATCATGATGGTAGAATCAGACTTCGCCTGTGAAGAGAATTTTCAAGTGCTTCGACTTCCCTTTACCTAAATTCTTCAGCATCAAGCAACAAAAGTCAACGTGATATGCTCTTCGGTCTTCATTCAGGTGCTGAAGAAAGAGATGACAAAGAAATAATCTAAACATGTATTTTTATTAATAATTTCCATCATTGCTGCTGATGCAGTTCTTACTTCGTTGCTCATCTGCCGATTTGTGATATGAGAGATATCTCTTATTTCTGACGTTACTGCATCAATTCCTTCTTCCTCAGATGATACCACTATATGACCTAATTTAGTATCGTCTTTGAAACCCCCTCCCAAACTGAAAATATAGCACCATCGAATGACTATGCTATAAACATGAGCAGAGTCTTTCAGCACTAGTTCCTGGTAGTCTTTGGCTTTAACGTGGTAATCTTTGGCATATGGACCTTGTTTAATATAGAAGATAATGACCCGGAGATATTCTCTTCCCAGAACTACAGACTACAGCTTAAGCCATCACCTTTCCGACAGGTAGCGAAACAGTCTAATAACATCGTTCTCCTGGTTTTCTACATTTGAAAAATATGTTTGCAATTTGGTTTACAAACTTCGGGGACTTAAAAGGAACTACAGGATTAAAAACACAGCGATTAGAAACTGAATATTGTGCAGTAGGATAAGCACCCCGGTTTCCGGCCGGTCTCCACACAGCAAAGTAGAAACGTACAAGGAGAGGTTCAAATGTGAGAGGTACATATTGTGTCCTTCGTGTCTGCATGTGTGGTCCAGACGTACACGCGTGTACGTTGCTGACGCAATGTCCGGGTTCTCAGTGCAGTACTCAAAGTAGGCATAAGATGGCGTTTATGCTCCCTCAAACTTTCGAACTCGAGTCAGGACTCACCAGACCTCAGGAGAAGAGTTTTATTTCCTTTCCCTGCATTTATCTTATCGTAATACCTGTAAAGGAGTATTTAGTAAAAGTATAAATACCATGTTTCAATGGCAAGCAATGATTCTGGAAAATTTTAAATGCTGGGGTTTTGTATGGGAACAGAGAAGTGTGAACCAACAGGTTATGAGTTTTTTCATCTAAAACAGGGTGGTCTAGTTACCTACTGTCCCCCAAGACTCTGTTCATGAGACAGCTGGCACACCCTATGCGAAATGGAGAAGCTGTTAGCGTGTTATTAGTGACAGGTTGCTGCCTGTCGTAGACTTGGTGCCGGATGACGGGCCATTAAAGCTCCCTTCCAAGCCGACAATTGAAGTTCATGAGCCGGTTTTTGAACCCCCTTAAGCCCGATGTGAGTAGAGATAAGAAAGGTACACATGTGTACTTTCTGTACCTTTTCAACGAACGTATTTTACGACGTAAAACGTAATACGTACGTATACGTAATACGAACGTATTGTTACGAGGTACGTTTGTACCTCATAACGTACAAAATGTGTACCTGACTGTACTTTTCTGCTTTGCTGCGCAGTTGTTGGCCAGTGAGGTTTAAATGCAGCAAATTCTGTTAATCTGGCCGTTTCCAAGCATTCTATCAACTTCTTCCTGTACGAGGACCTTGATGAGGGTGTCAAGAGGCGTATCCACCCATCGTGACTTCCGGGTTGAGGTCGAGCGTCCATTATCATAAGCATCCACAGGATTTTAATGCTTAATAAATCTGCAAAATACTGTTTCTATGCTGCGCTAAAGCCCAAATAATTGCTCCAAAATTGTCTCGGCGTGATGTTAATGAAGCCTTATTATTTGGGGGCACTTTAATAGTTACAATTGGCGTAGGCACACTGTCATACTAACAATTTCGAAACTGACTGGGGTCAGATTCTGGCGATTGGATCTTAGTAGAACCATACACATGGAAAAACTGCGATCCACATGAACACAAGTGACAGGCAAACAATAAATGAGGAAAGACATTCGCTAGCAATTTCACTCGAGAAAGTTTGGCTCATTCCCACTGAGAACAGGATTAACTGACTGAACTGTATCAAGAACTGAATTCTTACGCATCAAGGAGTCAAACTTTCCCTAAGCGCTTTTACCAACGGATCCAGGTACTGTTTTGCTGTTTCGCTGCAGACTTTATTAACTCCAATGTTTCCACAAGTTTTGAGCCACATTCTTCCAACCTCTGGATCATGGGAGGTAGAAAATAAAAATGAGCTTCAATGAAAGCCGAACATCCCAAGACATTCTCATCCTGGAATGCTTCCTGTGAAGTCTGAATACAATATGCATAATCTGAAGCAAAAGAGTCCACAATTTCCATAGCGTTATCAAAAGTATTGCCATAGTAAGATGCAACTTCCAGCCATGCGCCCCACCTAGTATGGGCTCTGGTGGCAATTGAATTTCAGGTAGGCATTATTTGAACTTTTGAACTCGAGATAGAACTCTAAAACAATTGTTTCGTTGTACCTATGAGGTTGTCCCAACTTGGCGGAAATCCCCTTCAAAAATTCGGAGACACAATGAAGAGCATATGCCAAGTAAGTCACACGAAGCATATTCGGATAGAGTACCTTTAGCACTTTGGCAGCTTTGCTCATGTATGGTGCTCTATCTGAGAGAAACAGGATGAACCTCTCTCGAGTGACTTCAGGAGAGAAGAAGGATCCTGCAGGTCCAATTTTTTACCTTACTTTACTGATCTTTCTGTTCCAATATATCCATTGGAGAAAGTTTCTCATTCCTGAGGCCGTCTAAAAGTAGCATACCCCGAGTGTCGTTGATAAGCTGCACTACTAATGCATGGTTGGCCTTCTCCAAAGTCTTCGTGGCGACCAAATGTGGAGTTCCACGACCATCATAGCTTTGTTATCCCAGGATCATATTGGTAATGTGATCCTGGTTCGAAGGTCACGGAGAAGACACATTTTTTCATTAAAAGGTTCAAAGAGAATCTTGGAAAGACAGATATTTTAGTAGGGGAGGTGATTAAAATTGAGAAAAGGCGCGGAAGCACCTATTCATTCAAGTCGATAGATTTCGAATACTATGCCAAACGAATATATTGTGGGAATCTTATAGGTTTGCAACCTTGGACGCTTAAAGAAGCCTGGAGGCAATACGTATGACGCCACCAGTACAAGGAACAGAAGGCTAACATTGTGTTGAACTGGACTAGAAAGATGGAGGAAGCGATCTCGTTACTGTAGAAATCGTTCTAGAAACCACACAAGTTACTCCCACGGGCCGAAGGGAAGGTGATAGGGCGAAGAGGCCATGCACTACCATGTGCTGTGAATGTGAATCCCTCAACAGTGAATGCATTGTCCCGAGCAGGGATGGCCGCAACTATTTCAGCGCCCTGTGCCACAGACTGACTCACAACGCCGCTGCCCCTCCCCCCCTTTCCGCTCCCGTGAAGGGAAAAGGGTCAATCCCGAGGGTCAAAAATGACGCTGAAACTGAATACATTTTCAATATCTGAAGTAAATATGAGGGTGGTCTTCATTATTCATACGTTCAGTCACGTTTTGACGCAACCGATGAATTTGCGACCTGTGTGGGGGGTACATGTGACACATGCCTAACGCCGGCCCTGCTCCCAAGGGTTTATGAAGGGGCTTTTCTTTCACACGGTCATGTGGGAGACAGGGCTTGAGGTATGTCTAGACGATGCACAGCCACCCAAACTACCCCTCTTATCTCAGCTATAGACGCATTTCGGCTTTGCAGACGCCTTTGTGGCG